CTTGGTTTATCAGTCGGCAAAGAAAATTTTTCATCTTATTTGCAAATCTATAAAGATGGACGCAAAACTTGGCGCAGCATTAATTATGCAAACACAGTCATTTAATGGAAGTTCGTCACAGGTGTTTTTTATTTATTTTTATTATTTTTGTATATTTTTATTCAGCATATTTGCTTTTTGTTGTATTTATCCAGTTTGTTTTTTAGTGTGTTTTTTTAAAATTATCATTTAATTATGGCTAATAAAAAGCGGAAAATTTAAAATAATATTGAATAATAGAGATAATAATTTTATAATTTAGAAAAAATAATTCATTTTTTGATTTGAATTAATTATTACTATTATTAATTATTAATATTATTCTGTTATTTTTATATTATTATTTCTTTTGCTATTATTTCTTCATGAAAATTTTTCAAATTATACAATATTTATGATAAGATAAATTTAAATAGGGAAGAAAATTTCCAGTATTTTCAATTTATATAAATTTCCTAAAGTTTTCGTATAATATTGCGTATTAAATCTCTTCTTCTTCTAACAGCTCTCACCATTACTGGTGAGGCTGCCTCCGCTGGTTACAAGAGTAAGACGTCTCCAAGCTGCTTGGTCCATCGCTAGCAGTAATAGAATTCATTCCTTTTTCTTTGGAAAAAGGAATATTAAATTAATATAAAATTAAAGATTTTTAAAGTTATTTTTAACTTTTCGAATATATATTATAAATCCAAATATAAGTTAAAATTTATGTAAATATTAATTTTTGAATAAATATTTTAAAATTTTATTTTGACAAAAATCTTCAAAAATATTAATAAATAACAAAATAAATGTCAAATAAAAAAAAACAAATCCTTTTGTTAAAATAAAAATTTTTTGTCTTATTTTCAGTTGTATTCAACAACATCGACAACTTCATCATCTTCGTTAATTCCCTCAGAAATTCATGAATCAAAAACAAATTTAATCATAAATTATTTGCCTCAGTCGATGAGCCAAGAAGAAGTACGATCGTTATTTTCGAGTGTCGGTAATATAGACTCATGTAAACTCGTTCGTGATAAGATTACTGGTTGGTTTTTCCTTCCTTCTTATCAATTTTTTCTATTTTACCACTTCCTCATTTGATTTCTTATTCGATTTTATCAATCTGCCATTTGATGTATTAGTTTCAATCAATGTTATTGAAAATATAAAACTGAAATGTTTATTTTTCAATTTAATTTAATTTTTTATTTTTCAATTCAAAAAATTCAAAAATAGAATTGTTTCAAAGAAAACTTTTTATTAAAAATATTCAGCTTCGTCGTATTGGAAGTTAAATTTATTGTCTATTGTTTGAGGGTTTCTTTTTTCATTAACTTCTTTTTTTCTAAAAAAGTTTTATTTTTTCTTCTTTTTTTAGTTTTTTCAGATTTACAATTTTTTAAAAAAGCTTGTTAAATTGTCCAATACAAATAAAGCGGTAATTAGATTTTTTGATGTGACAAAGCGATCAGAAAAATGAGTTTTAATTTTTATTCTCTTTATAATTTAAAATTAAATATTTTTGTGTAAAAATTCAAATTATTATCATTTTTATTTTCATTGTTATTCCCATTGTTATTATTACCAATGCATTTATTACTACGATTGATATCATTATTATCACTGTTATTATTGTTGTTGTTACGTGAGCTATCACGTGGAATGTTCGTATTTTCTAATGAATTCGCTTATAAAATCTAACATTTGATATAATTTTTAAAAATTTTTTTCTTCCTTTTTTCCGTTGCACGATTGGATAATTTTTTTAATTTGTCAGTTCTTAAAATTATTATTTATTATTATTATTTATAATATATTCTTTTTTTATTTTTTAAATTTTTATAAAACGCTTGTTCTTCTTTTTTGGAAAGAATTTTTTTTATGTTTTTCTATCGCTTTTTCAAAATAAGTAAATTTTATGAATTTTTTAAATTTTTTTCGATGTTAATTTGCTTTTTCTTCTTTTTGAAAAAAATTTGATAAAAATTTTGAAGATTTTTTTCAAAAAAAAGTTTTCATCAGCAATTTATTATTTAAAATAATTGTTTTTTATTTTGTTTTATTTTTTCACGTGTAATCTTTTATATAATTTATTAATTCTTTTATTTTTCTATTTTTATCTTAATTTTTCCGTCTTGTTTCGAATTTTCGTTCGATTTAGTTTGTTTTTAGGCCAGAGCCTTGGTTACGGTTTTGTTAATTACATACGTCAGGAAGATGCCTTGAAGGCAGTTGCTACATTAAATGGCCTAAGACTTCAAAATAAGACTATCAAGGTTCGCAATTCCTTTTTTTTCTTCTCTCTCTCCTTCTTTTCAAATTAATTTCTATTATTTTTTTATTATTTATTTTAATATATTATTTAATTTATTTTTTCTTCTTCGCTTTTAATATTTTTTCGTTATTTTTTTTTAAAAATTTTAAATTATTATTTTAAAACAGCTTTTATCTTCTAAATTGCTTGTTTTTATTTCTTTTCATTTTAAATATTTTTCGTACAAAATTATTTTAATTAATTTTTTGAAAAATTTTGATTCATTGCTTTGCTTTTCCACTTTTTTTCCTAACTCTTAGATAAATATTAATATTATTATTTCTAATGAATTCGCTTTATTATTATATATTATTTTTTTTTCGAAACAAAACACTTTCTATTGTTTTATTTTCTGCGGATGGGAGGAGTACGAAGAATGGCGGTGATTTTACGATCCAAATGACTAATTAATTTCCTAATGAATTGAAAGCAAATAAAGGAAGGGGAATGTGACGAAAAGAAGACTTGCGCCGTGAAAATTGTTGTCAATAAAATTCTGGAAAAATCGATTTTCGTAGCAAAATTAGATTCACGGCTCGGTTTCTAGGAGAAATATTTTTAGAAAATAAAGATACATATTCATTTCATTTTTATTTTATAGTCAAACGAAAGCGAATTCACACTAAGGGACTAATTATTTTCATTAAAAAATAATTTTTACTTGGATATTATCGAATTTCGTGGTTTTAATAAAAAAACGGCAAATATAATTTAATTTTGTTTTGTTTACTGAGTTTCGACAAAAAATTGGTAAATAATAAATTTTGTAGTAATAAAAAAATGGTATTAATAATAATGATAATAAATAATAATAATAATCTTCTATAGAAAACAAGTTTTCCTCAATTATTCACTTAGTTTAATAAATAATAAATTAATTTTAAAGTGTAAAACGAAAATTTTAGAAAATATTTTCTTAACTATTATAGTTGCAAATCGAAGTGCAGTATTTTATCAAATCTCTAAGAGACTTTTATGATTGCATCCGTATTCGTTCGACTGCTACGGAAGTGTCGCCTACGCTGGTTTGCAGTGTTTTTCGACGTTCGCTTATAGGAATTGTCGACATTTCGTCACTTACTAAATGCTGGTAGGGTCAGAAGCGAGGACGGCCGATGCGGTCAGAGGAGAATTTGAATTCGTATTGATGGTTCCGCGATAAACAGGCTAAGTCGATGGAAAAAGGATTGGTTCCAATTATTTTCAGGATTGCCTTCAGATCGATAGCCTTGAAAACATCTTAGTAATATAATCTAAGCCAGCAATTGTGTGAACTACTGAAAAAGGAAAAAATGATTTTTAAGTAAAAATTTCCCATTCTAATAGACTTTGCCTAATAAGAAATAGTAAATACTATGAAAAGAGGAATATGTTATATAAATATTATTTATTATTATTTCCTTTAAGGATTTTTATAATTTCGTAAATTATTTTCATTCATCAAAATGTAAATTTGTGGTGAATATGTTGGATTGGATATTCGCGTATGTAATGATTTTTTCCTTCTTTTTGCACATTTTTATTCGATTAGTTTTGCAATTTTTTTCCTACAAAAAATAATTATGGAAAAGAAATTCAATAATTTATCGTTAATAAAATATGATTTAATAATAGTTCCTTTCATAGTTCCAATATTAGAGACTGATTAGTCGATCTATAACCTACTAGCTCGACAAAGTCGGGTGAAGGTCTTTTACAAATTTTCAAGCACCTCCAGGATCTTTTAATTCTTTCGGTGATAGGATCCAAACCATTCCACTTGAGAATAGCAGCTTTGACAGCATATTAGGTTTCCTATCTCTCTTTCTATTTTTCACTGGAAGTGATATTGTCAAAGTGATAATAGGAACTCTTCTATTCTATTTCTAAGCGACTAGTTAAAAAACTAAAGATTCTTTAAAAACTTCATATCTTAATATAACTCGATGAAGGCAAAGTCAAATTACTTACCAGTAAATGCTAAATGGATGTATTGGTATTATTAATTCCTAAAAGTTAGGGAACTGGCCAAATTGGGAAAATATTTTCGCAAGGAAAAGATCAATGAATGAGCGATGATGATTACCACTGAGGAAATATTTTGTATAGCCATCTTATATATGAATGGTTTTTTTTATAAATTGATGATAAAATCGAATAGATTTTTGATATTTTGATAATATTAGATCATAATAAAATGGGCATAGAATGGCTCAATGGGTTGTTGCTCATTGGGAGCGCCGATGCTGAGGTTCGAATCCCAGCAGGAGTAAACCAAAATTCGAGTAATGCTGGCGACTCACCTGTATCTCTATCGCCATGCGACTTCCTGGCATATTGCCCAATGTGACGAACCAGTGAAGCGAGTTCAACCAATAATGGTGAGGACTCTTGAAAAAAAATTTAAAGAACTAAAGATTCTTTAAAAACTTCATATTCTAATATGACTGGATGAAGGCAAAGTCACATCACTCACAGTAAATGCTAAATGGATGTATTGGTATTATTTTTAATGAATATAAAAAAATTTTAAAATAATTATTCGTGAAGAGCGGTTGTTTTATAATTTTGGAATACTTTAATGAACCTTCCATCCATGCAAATTTTTAAAACTTTCAGTTTTATTTATTTGCAATTAAAAATTATGAATTTTTGCATTAAACTCAGTTCTTATTTCGAGATGAATGATTTAAAGAAGGTAAATTATCAACAAATTCAGGTATCGTTTGCGCGACCAAGTGAGGAATCTATAAAAGGCGCAAATCTTTATGTGAGTGGATTGCCAAAGTCAATGAGCCAACTCGAGTTGGAAGGACTCTTTCGCCCGTTTGGACAAATTATCACTTCAAGAATTTTATCCGATAATATTACTGGTTTGTTTGTGTTTCATTATGTCGTAATTGATTTCAAAAATTGTATTCGGTGAATTACTTTGTTTTCTTATTATTTCTTATTTTATTATTTTGCAATAATTCTCTAATTGTTTAAAATTTTGGGCAAAAATTTCAGAGGAAATTATTCTGATTTTATAGGATTGTCGAAGGGAGTTGGTTTTGTTCGATTTGATCGGAAAAATGAAGCAGAAAATGCAATTTTGAAATTAAATGGAACGATACCAACCGGTTGTGTAGAACCTATTATCGTAAAATTCGCCAACAATCCAGCTACCAACGCTCAAAAAACTCAGTTGCAGGTCCATTATATTTTTGGCTTCTTCTTTAAAAATTTGAAAATTTAAAGATAATTTTCAATTTATATGAAATTACTGATTAGTAATAGCATAGATTGTTAGTTTAAGCACCTAACATTGCAAAAAATAACCAAAGGTTAATCAAGTTTAACTTTGAATGAATTGGTGATTGCGAAGATTTTCAGCCATTCAATTTCAGAAGATTAAATTTCAGGTTGCTCAAGCAGCATCAGCACTGATGCCATTAGCACTTCTGAATACAGTAGCTGCTACAAGTCGCCGATTTAGTGCCGCAGGTCCAATCCATCATACTCCACAAACCGGTAGATTTCGATATTCTCCTTTAGCAAGTGTGGCAGCTCCTGCAGCGAATACGACTACAAATTCAGATTTGCTTGCTACTCAAATTCTTCAAATGGCTGTAGCGACAGGTAGCATGACTATTGCATTTTTAAAAGTATTTTATTAAACGGCTTTTATTCGCATGTGTAATTCCATTGATTGCATGTAGCAATGGTTTTGGTTTCTTAAGTAAACTTTGAGTGAAAATGAAATGAAAATGAAATCTAAGTGGTTGCTGAGTCTTCCATCTTTCAGTTTTCAGATCAGTAGATTTCTTTGATTTTTATTTTGCATTTGTTAGTAAGGGGAATTATCTGCTTATAAATTCTTATTAGATGAAAAGTTTGATTTTTCCATATATTTCTTAGACTTTTTCTTTGTGATTCTAAATTGCAGTAAAAAATAATTAATTACATGATGTTTCACAATGGTGTTTGGTATTTGCAAAGGTTTTCTGAAGGAATTTTACTTGTATTAAATTGAGTAGAGTTATCAGTATTCGATATCGATATCAATTTATTTATTTTATTACAATTTGCTAGATTATTTATATGGACGAGAAGAATTTCTAATTCGTTAAAGGATAGGGTAAGAATAGGGTACAATAGGGTAAATTAGGGCTTAGAATGCTTAACGAGTCCTCAAACAAAACCTTTCAATTCCCCTTACCACCACCATTTCCATATATTTTCCATCTTTCCTGCTGTAAAAGCTGTGGTTATAAAAAAACTACAGTGGGCAATAGTAATATTAAAGCTCAATATAATTTTAAGCAGAAGAAAGTGATTAGAAAATTAGAAAATTTTTTGTGGATTAATTTGCAAAAGAAGAAAAGAAATATCGGATTTGAGCTAGAATTATAAAATTTAAATTGTAGAATTTCTTTTCGTATATTTACCATCGTGGGGATTTCGCGATTTCGGGGGATTTTAAGGAACTGTAATGGGCTTTAGGTGATCTTATCAGGAAATTATGAAAAATGAATATTTAGGAAACGTACGGGTGGAATAATCATCTTTTCGATAATTACTCTGAGTTACAAAAATGCTGTTCAGGGTTAACGATCTATTAAGAGGTGATAATGAATAGTGAATAGTGTTGTGATACTATAAATAGTTTAAGAAAGTGTTGATGGTTTATGGCAAAAGAGTTCGAGGAGTTTGTCGGGTCAAAAGGAAATAGTAGGGGATATAAAAGAGAGGATGAATGGATCATTAATGGATTGTAGCAAACGAGTATGATGGGATTGCGGCAAAAGAGACTGCGTTTGGAGAATATTAAGGGAATATTTAATGAAGCGTGATTTTTCCTAAATTTTGAGCACAAGCTTCGAATATGTCAAAAAACTAGAATCATTACGACAAGATTGCGCAGGCTCAGAGTGCAGAGTGTCTCTATTTTTTTCAGTACAATCATCATATAAATCGTTTTGTCTTCATTTAAGACACATCTGGCCTGAATAGTCAAATATTCATCATTCTTTACTCCTATTTTTAAATACTGTAAATTTTCTCGTGTAGTTTATCAAAATTTGGATAAATTTATTATATCACTCTTTACTTCTAACACTTTTTTCTGTAGAACTTAGATTATTGGTCGGAGGGACGAAAAAAATGAAAAAAATTTCAGGTGCAAATACATCAGCGCAACTAGCAGCACTTGCTACTGGTACACCTAGCACAGCTCCAGCAACAAATCCCGGATGGTGTATATTCGTTTATAATCTCGCTCCTGAGACGGAAGATTCTGTTTTATGGCAATTGTTTGGACCTTTCGGAGCAGTACTAAATGTAAAAGTAAGTTTTTTTATTTTATGATTCATTTTTTAAAATAAAGCTGTGCGATTTAGTGAAAATTAGTTATTATCGAAAATTATTTGCAAAATTCATATTTCAATTTAATTTCATTTAATTTATGCTTCATTAATTACATTTCATCGATTATAAAAGTCAATTTTCTATGACCTTTGAAAATAAATGAAATAAATTTATTCTGAAACCTTTTTAAATTTAAGGTTATACGTGATTTTTCTACTGGAAAATGTAAAGGATATGGTTTTGTAACGATGGGTCAATATGAAGATGCACTTGCAGCGATTACGTCTCTTAATGGTACTCAAGTGGCCAATAGAACTCTTCAGGTCTTTTAATTTTATTCACTTAAGATTTTTGTTTAAAATCGGAGTCTCTTTGTTTTATATAAAATAAGAAATTTTTTATTGGACAAAATTGGTTTTTATTTTAATTATTTTCTATTTTTTCAGGTTTCGTTTAAGGCTCAAAGTTTGCCAAATGCAGTATTATAAACTTGGAATCCAACAAATTGTTTGTTATTAGTTAGATTTAGTTAGATTTTGGTTATTTTTATATACATTTCGCTTGATTCCTCTCCATTTTCTCTAAATGGAATTTTCTGTAAAAAAATTGATCATTAACAAATATTATTAAAATGAAATTATCGATGTCAAAATAAAAAAGAAAGCTTTTTTTATAATATTAAAGTTCACCTGAAACCATATCGAAAATCATAGATATATCCTTATTATTCGCTTTAATTTAATTTAATTTAAGCTTTAATGTATATTTATTTCTATAAATTTTCGTATTGTATTAAATTTTATTTTTAAATTTTATTTTAATTTAAAATTTTAATTTAAAAAATCAATTTTTAATGAAATTTTTCTACCAACTTTTTAAAGAGATTGTTTGTTTATGCTAATAATGAATTTTTGTAAAATTTTTTGCAACATGTTTTGCATCATATTTTATTTTTTCGACTATTGTTTTTCTTTTCTGATAGGGAGAAAAGATAACGGGCAGTTGGTGGGGGTTGGTGGAGGGAGGGGAAACAAATTATTCGTGCTATTGTTCAAATTAATAAGAGAAATAACGAACGTCATTTGATTTGTATGAAATTTTTTGTCAGTTATTCTTCTATTTCATATCACAAAATTTTATATGAATGGCGATTGCTAATGGAAGTTTCGTTTCTTCGTTTAGCATTAATTTTGCAGAGCAAAGTACCTACTGTTGGTTGGAAAATGAGAATTTTAATGAACCATTTTTTTTCCATTTTATTTGTTTTCTTCCTAATTTTTGTACTTTTTTAAAAATTAAATTGATTTATCAATTAAATATTAAAATTCTTTCTTCTTTATACGATTCCTTTTTTCATTGCTTTTTTACTTTGCTTATATTTTTTATTTTTTCCTTTTTTATTATAAGATTCGATAATTTTATTGTTTTCTCTTTTTTTTTGTATTTTTGACCTCAAATATTTCTCAGGCAAATGCATAATTTACTAAAAATCGTTTGATTATTACTCATTAATAAAATGTTTATGTTTATAATAAAATGTTTATCGAATTTTTTCCATTTTTATTTTGAAATGAAAAATATCTGATAAGTTTGATGTCTGATAAAATTTTGGATATCTGATAAGTTAAGATTTGATTGTGAATATTTTTTGATAATTTAATTATTTACAATTTTAATAATTTATAATTTCTACTTATATTTAATAGTGCTGGTTGATACTGAGGAAAGCTTGGTTCTTGCAATGGATTTTGAATTCTGAAATATTAAGTAATGTAGAATTGTTGGGCCATTTCACCAAGAAATATTTTGAGGAAGAGATAGAAATAAATCCACAGCAGCGCTTTAATAATAGATTCACTCCTGATAAGATGAGCAAACAAAAAATTTTATAGGTAATTTTATAGGTATATAATTTTATACTATACTTAATGGTATTGGTTGATATCAAGGAAAGCTTTATCAACTGTTCTTGCTTTTTCAACTTTTTCTTTTTCAACTTTCAATTTTTTTCATTTTAATTATTCAAATTAAAAAAAAGGAAAAGGAAAGGTAGTGCAACGCATCAACGATGGATGATAATGAAGTTAGGATTAGGTTGGTTTTTTTGCCTGATTCGTAATAGGTCAAGGACAAGCATCTTTCCTTTTTGCTAATAGTTGCGATGAATTAAAATAGCCTGTAATGGTGATAGCGAAAATTGATTACGATTTTTGCAAGTCCAAAGGAGTGCCGTAATCTAAGCTTTTCGTAAGCTTTTACCAAAAATGGAATTTTCAGCGCTGATGGCAGCGGCTAAAAGCGACTTTGTTCTGGCGAAACGTGGCTAGAAAGCATTGAAAATATGAAGCTGTCCATCTTCGAAGAGACTTACCTAACGTACATCCTATACTTTCACCTTGCAAAGCTTACATCCACTTTCGCCTTGATCCCATGTGCATTGACGAATTGTCACAAAGCGCAATTTGAGCCAGCTGGGCCTATTCTTGGTTTTCACCTGAGGACAGGCGAGGCAAAGTAACACAGTTAGGAGACTATCCATCGATACATAAGTTTATATGACTGAAAAAGCTTCAGTTAATTTCACTTAAATTTATTTTGTGGTCAGTATATTTGTCATTCTAATCGCCAGTGAAGCCAGCGAAAATGCAAGGGCACGAGCACGATTATAAGTATTGCACATAAATAGAACAATTGTCCAGCAGATAATCAACCTTAAAGATTCGTTGCGGATCAACGCGAATAGTATTTCTTCTCAAGTACCTCTCGATGTTCGGATTTGCAATTCGGATCCAGAAGGTTAATTTAACTCCATCTCATTCAAACTTGATAACTTTGATGGCATTTTGTAAAGCGATTTCAAGCTGTCATTTTGAAATTTTTTTTAAATATTTATTTTTGGAGAAAAATGATTTAATTGATTGGAAATGAAATAAATAAAACTATTTTCAGCTTTTTAGAATTCAAAATACCATTCATGCGCCATATCCCATATTTTGAGAAAATTCAGAGGTACAATTCAGAGGTAGCATTTTTTTAAGGACCCCATTATTACTGGTTACGTGCACTCCGCTGGCTCATCGGACTATGCCAGGAAGTCTCTTTGCAATAGAAGTGCAAGTGAGTCGCTAGCTTTACCTGGATTTTTGGACAGGGCATTGGACATTTATTCCTGCGATCCAATGGCATAATATAGCACTCCGATTCGCAGTTACCAGTGTTCTATATGTGGCTAAACGATGAAAGATTCCGATCGAGAAGCTTCTGATCGATTCTATTGTTCTAAAAGGCATTTCGTTGATCTATAGGACAAAGCACTTCCATTAGCTTCTAAAATATTTTATTGATCCATGCTTATTTTATTATTTTGAATAAAACCGTACAATAAAAAAAACAATAAGAGAATGGCTATTGCTAAATACGGTAAAATATTAAGAACATTATCAAATTATTTCGTGAAAATCTTTTTTACGACCTTTCGTTAAGTCCTTATATTGTAGTGCTGCCAGCTGTAAGGCTATCGATAACGTTTAATTTCCAGTTAAAACTATGGCACCGATGGTCCATAGACCACATTAAAGGCAACTTATTCCAGTAATTAAAAGCAGCTACGAATGAAGAAGCTATGACTTCTTAACTTAATTCTGCAAGGAGGCTTTAGTAACTTCGTATAATTAAAGTTATTCGAATTTAGATTCAGATTCATTGTCAATATTTTTGCTATTTTTCATTTTAGAAATATTTTTAAGACATTATTTATATATTTACTTATGGTAATCGAAATTGCACGAGTTGCATGGAGTGCCATTTTGCTTTTTTTTTCGTTGAAAAAATGTTAATTATTGGTTCCACACGTTTTTTCCCATTCATTTTAAGTTAATGCTTTTAAGAAACAAACTTTAATTTTTAAATATATTCGTAGAATTTTTGAAAACCTTGAATTTCGTAAAATATCGAATGGCTTGCCGTGTATTATTAATTCCCTTCATAGCTATGAAATATTCCAACAAAAAATTTATAAATTTGTAAATTTAACAAATTACAAATTATATACAACAAATTTCTAAAAAATGCGAAGATAGATGGTGGTGAACTGCAAAATTTTGAAATCTTTTTCCACAGTATTTGCACGTACAAATAAATTTATTATATTCATCGAATAAAAAATGCTTTTTTGTGATATTTTTTATATTTAATTTGTTTTTAAAAATTCTTAATAATAAATATCCTTTAAGAATTTTAATTATTTATTTATTTACATTTCTAAAAATTCGTAATTATTCGTAATTTAATAATTATTTTATTCGAACAAGGAAGAAGGAAATTTTTTTTCCTTTAGATCAATAAAAGAATGAAAAGGAATTATTTTGTCTTTTCAAATTATTATTCATTTCGTTTGCTTGATAAAACATTTCCTGTGTGAAGAGTTCGCCAAGGACGTAATGGATCTTTTCCAAAATGTCGCCTTCCTAATGAAAAAATATCCTTTTTTTGACTAAAAATACATTTGTTCTTATCATCGACATAATCACAATTATCAGCGAAATTTACTTTGGTATTTCCTTGTGAAATATTCGCTAATGTATTAAAAAGAAGTGAATCAATCTCGAAGTTCTTCGATAAAATCGCACTGCTTGATTCAATTGTCTTATTCAGTAATGCAAATGAGGCATTTTCAATAATTTCATCAATTACTGCTAATAGGGTTTCGTTTGAGATAAATGTCGCTTGAGAATCTAATAATGCAAAAATTTCATCTTTAGTTGTATCATTCTTAATTACTTTTTTTTCTTCATTTGGTATGGCCTTTTGAATTTGCTGCTTTTCATTTGCTCGTTCATTGATAAAAAATTTTGGTGGTTTTACTGCAGAACGATCGAATGAAGCCAGCGGAAATATGGATTTAACGGTAGAAGTTTTAGCAAATCTGGAATCGACGTTTCTTAAAGGTGATATAGAATCTGTGCCAAACGATAGAATAATCTCAGAATAATTGCTTTTCAGACTTGTAAGATATTTCTTTGAAAGTGAGTGCAAAGCCGATTGTCTGTTTTTGGCTATTCCTGTTGTAAAATTGACTTTATCAGCTGTTGATATATTCGATTTATGAATTGATATTCCCTGCGATCCCTTAGTTCTAAATGATTCGTTATCACTATTTTTTCTATATTCAGGGAAATTATGCGCAGGCTTTTTTCTTTGCAATGACCTTGTTGTATCATTGGTAAGCGATGTAAGAGTTGTCAAAGATTTGGCTGCAGTTGCAGTAATATTCTTCGGTAGCAAATGGCGCATCGCAGTGCTTACGTTATGATTATAGTCCCTATTGCTTTCATTGGCATCTATTGTCTGTAAAACAGGTTTTGGAGATCGTGCAAATCTTCCTGAAATTATTCAACCAAATTAATTAATCAAAAAATCTTCAAATCATCGTGGTCATTATAATGAATAGATCAATTAATTACGATTGAAGTGGTTAATAGATTTGATAACGACGGTTTTATTGTTGATAAATTTTTTAGAGCATTCGGCTCAAGTCGATTATTTTAATAAAAAGATTAATACCACTGATATAAATAATTTTGATTAAACATCTTAATTCATGAATTCACTTATCACATCAGCTGACAAACAAATATGAATAATTTACTTCGATTTCCGTTCCTTGGCAAAATTAAATGAAATCTATTATCAAAAATGATGTTAAAAATAATATTTAGATTGTGCTTTTGTGCTTTTTTTATAAATTTTATTAATTTTTAATATTTCTAAAATAATTTTTACTAATTAAGTCCATTAATTTTTATAGAAAAATAGTCTATCTAGGAATGGAATTCACTTCTTGATTTTGGCGATAATCAGTGGCATTACTTAATTATTCGTTTTTTAGGCAGAATTTTTATCATATTTCTTTCGAGGATTCTTTTCTTTCGAGCTAATCAGTTCATAAAAAAGATATTCTTAGCTTGAACTTGTCCTTTAATTTCATATGGGCTTAAAAAATTACTAGTGGAAAGCTTAAGATTTATCCTTTATATCATTTAAAATACGTTTTCAATTTCAGCTATGGATGTTGCGCTAAGAGAATTACGTTAATTATATAGAAGAAGAATGAAAAAAAATTAACCGAGATGTGATAGGGTCGTAAATCGAGCTTCTGAAATCGTGGTACGTTGAAGTGGATTTTTTGCGCCTTGAAAAATTTTTCGAGCGAAATCTGGCTCTAATAAATTTATTGAATATCGATTTTGAACGAATTCGTTCACTTGGCTGATTTCATTTAACTCTAATTTCAAACTATAAAAACAATATTTATAAAGAAAATTAAAAGTCTAGAATTTTTAAAAATAATTATTTTTTCTCCTTTAAATCTCATAAAACGATTGATCATTATTTTCGTTTATAAAAAGGTTTCTAATTATAAAAAAAAAATTTATAAAAAACTATTCGAAAAAACGAAAATATTAAAAATTACGAAAATTAAAAGAAATTTCAATTATAAAAAAATCATTATAACAAAATTTAGACTTTGAAAAATTTAAAGATTTTTAAAAGTGTTATTTTTTTTAACTTCACAATCTCCTTTAAATCTCATAAAACGACCGATCATTGTTATCATTAATTTCTGCGCAGCCACCACTTGCAATCAAATAGAGCCCAATTGACCACCTTATAAACTGATTATAATGTAGCATAAAATCTAGAATTTATGTAAAAATTATAAAATAAAAACAAATAAACTCATATAATATGCATAACAAAGCAGAATGGCATATTATGGATGCCGTAATGATCGAGTAAGCATCGTGGTGGTTCGATTTTCAGCAATAATAAACCTGACAAAATGAAACCAGAAGAGTAATAATTCGGTTGTATGCCTATCATTAAATCACAAATGATGAGTATTGTTTGAAGGCGATTTCGATGGTGCTAATCGTGATGGTGGAGAGCTTTTAAATCTTTTTTCTTCGAATAGCATGTGTTATTTGCGGTTTGACTGAATATTTTAATAGGCATTAAGTGGATTTGGCAAAATTCTGCCTTCGTTAAGAAAAAACATGAGTTCAACTCTCATTATCTGATTAACTACTTACTCAGTTTAAAACAATCATTATAATTCATTGTTCACTTACTCTTCGACAAAGCAGCTTTATTCTCCTCTCTACTCGGTAGCGAAATGACTTTAAGCGAAAGGGCTAATAACAAACAAACCAGAAATGGTGACAAAACGAGAAATGGTGAGCGATATCAAAAGAAAATAAAATTCGAAAAATAAACAGATTTTCGATTTTATATATATTAAAACTAAAATTTAGATTAGAGAAAATTAGAATATTTAGAAAGTTAGAGCTAAACAGTTTTCAAAAAAATTGGCGAATAAAATAATTTTTGGAGACAAATTTTTTTTTTAATTTAATGTTACGGGTGATTTTTTTTATTTATATTTCAAACAAAATATTAATTATTAAAAATATTAAAAAATATTAAAAATTTTGAAATTAAATTGGATTTGAATTTGTTTTTCGTTTGTTAATAATAAATGATAAATGATAATGGTAAATTTTTGTTAATGATCAATTTCGTTGGTTTGTAAATGAAACGATGGATTATTTATTAAATTAAATAATTTTAGAATTTCAATTGAAAATTTTTCATAAAAAAATCTTATAAATTATTATAAATTAATTTTTATCAAACGTAATTCATGGGAAAGTTTTAATTCAAAAAATTCCACAAAATTTCATTAAATAAATAAAATAAATAAATAAAAAAATTATATGAGGATAGATTAATAATATTTCAATATTAGCAAATGCTTTGAATGAAAAATGCGCAATTCAATATGTCCTCCTTCCTTTTGTAATTTGCTCGAGGGCATATAATTTTTCGTCTTATCCGGTAGCTAAATGAAAGCCGGTTCCTTATCACCATACATTTCATGATCGTTTCTTTTCACTGAATTTTTCGCACTGATCTTATTTTAACGATCATGGAAGAAAGATGAATTACATAATAAATAAATTAATCGAATCTGATTAAGTTGAGACATTTGATGGACAAATTATTGCATAATTTATAATTACAGTAATGAATCGTAAGATTTTTGATACTATTAAATATAACTCATCTCATTTCTCATTATTTTATGTTGTTATTAACACTTAATTTAATGAAGAAATCATTACGAGATATTTGTTTTGAAGCACTCACTTCGGTAGAAGAATATCAAAAACTTGAAACGAAACGCCGTCATATGGTTATAGCTCATAGCCGAGAAAGTTGATTCGATAGGCAAAATGAGGTGACTAAGAGATTTTGTATGGCAAAATTTTAATAGCCGTAGATTATTGAAATAATTTCGCTATTTTTTTAAAATCAGAATGTAATTTAATTATTCGTTATAATTATAGTTTTATTATGATTTTTAGGATGGTAAAGAAAGTTCACTTTGTATATAATAAAATGGAAGAGATTTATATTAACATCGCCTTTTTTTCGCAAATTTTGTGAGTGATAAAACTTTTATCAAGATGATTAATAATAACGAACTCTAGTACGATTGTAGTACAGTTTGACGAGCAAATAAATCTCTTTTTTTATATCATTATTGCTATTATTATTATTGCTATTACCATTATGATTATTATCATTATTATTGCTATTATTGTTGCTGATTGATTTTCCTTGTCTGATAAAGGCACTATTTGCTGTTTATAATGAATGAATTTGAATGTAGAATCGCATTTAAAAAGCAAAAAAAAACCATTTTCTATTTATGTTCTTCAAATTAAACAAATGAAAAAGTAATTTGATTGATTGCAGAAAGGCGAAAATCTAAGAGAATAGAGTTTTTTTTACCCGGAAATTTCTTAAATTTTTACTGAAATGCTTAGGAAGCAATAAAATTAATTTGTTGAACTGTTCGTGCGCTAAAATTTTCAAAGTTTTAATGCATTTTAAGAGAAAAAAATTATTTTATTGAGCGTATTATCCATCATGTTGGTATTATTTTGCTTCGAACTTAAAACTTATCAAATCAAATTTTCAGTAGAATAGTTTATAAAAATTGATAATTGATAAGACTTTGATAAAGCTTAAATAGTTAAAATTCTTATTGAGACGATATATTATGTTAAAATTTATTTGACCAGTCAATTTATTGCATGGTATATAGTTCAAAGCCTATTAATGAATTCACTTCGTAGAGTTCAGTGATCCAAATTTAGCGGAAAAAGAGGGGCGATCAGCAAATTAACAAATATATTATAGGATCCAAAGTCCATTCACGAAATAAATTTCAACTAAGGTTATAACCTAAGCTGAATGGGAAAAATGGGAATAAAATAGCAGCAGCAGTGAAATTTTCCCTAAGAAATTTCCAACTAAATTTGCAATTGCTCTATTGTAAATTCGAAGTGAATCAATTGTTGAAACAGAATTGTTGTCGAAAAAATTTAACTGTCAGGAATTTTTAAAGTTTCTATTAATATATGCAAAAAAAACTCAGTGAATCAAGTTTCCTTGCAAAATTCGTTTTAGTTTGGTTGTTTGTCAAATAAAAAAAAGAAAAGGTAATTTTTTGGAAATTATTATTAGTTCAAAAATAAAGCAATAATTTTCGAAAAACGTTATTTCATGTTCGAGGACAAAATTTGATAAAAAATTACGGAAAAGTACTTTTTGCATTGAAAACTGAATTGAAAAATTAATCGTTCAACTTTGAGATATGATTTATTTAAAAAATATAATTTATCAAAGCGATATAAGAATTTTCAATAAAAAGTAAAATTTATTTTGTGATGAATTCCATTTGCATATTATATAAGGTAAATGCATATTGCTCATTATCAATTATCATTACTATCATTTCAAGCAAGAGAGTTCGAATTTTAGCACTAGCGGTACTTTAGTAAAACTTATCATCAAGTCTGGAATGAGCCAAATTAGTAATAGTTATATAGCTAATCACTTGCTTGATTGCATACTTATTTTTCATATATAGTAGAAAATAATATTATTTTATTTGATGAGAAAGTTATTTTGGAATTATTTTTTATTTTCTATCTTATTTTTATTTTATTTATGCAAAATACTAAAACATTTTAATATTTTACAAAATTTTACGATAATGCTTTGATCTGTGGAAAATCAAACTACTCAAAACATCCAGTGGATCCGTATTTGTACAGCAAATCCCAGTTGTGGCCAAATTTTAGATTTATTTTAGATTTATTTTATTTTTATTTTATTTTTTATTTTTTAAATTTCGTTACTCAAAATTTAAAAAAAGAATATATTTGTTCATAAAAAAGTGAATAATTAGCATATTTATTTCATATTCTCATTTAAATTTAAATTTAAATTTTTAAGGAGAAGAATTTAAATTTTTAATTTTTGGAAAATTTTTCCACGAAAATATATCTGGTTTAACATGAAAAAGAAGACAAAGGCATTTGCATGAAAGGCTATGAAAAATTTTCGTCACATCTTTTTGTAACTTATCTTATGAATTTATGCAAATAAAAGAGGTCAAAAATTCATATACGATAGTCCTTTGTTTGATGCAAATTCTTCGGTTCATAACAAATCTTCTTCGTCGATTAACGGAGAATTGCTTAGTCGGTTGACATTCGGTTTCATTATTCTTTTCTTTTTTGTTCTATTTTCAAGTTATTTTATAATATTTTATAATTATTAAAGAAAACTTCATTTCTACAATTATCGTTTTAACAAGGTCATCGAATTATAATAGAAACTCTGTTCATTTGTAATTTTTTATTTGCAATAATTATTTATTAAAAATTTATTTAATATATTTATATTGAATATATTTAATTTATTTATTTAATTATTTATTTTGAATGTATTTAAATTAGTGCTTTCTTTGGCTATTTATGAAAGAATTTATTCCACTAAAATTCACCTTCTTTTAAACAAATCTTATGAAAAATAATTTTAAATTAAATTTATGTTTATATTGAGAGATGTGATTTATTTTCATCTTGATCCATTTTTATTTTTCAATCATTGATCAGTGGCAGAAGATTTTTTCAAAAAAACTCACAATAGAGATTTCATCGAATTTATCTCAAAATGTTCTTCAAAACGGATTTAGAGAATTTTGAACATTTCGTCGTTCATCGTCTAACACGTGTCACAAAATACCTTTTTTCCATCTTCAATGACAAATTATTTCAAAAATTATAAATATATCATTCGAAATTCTTCTCCTTTTGTATTATCATATTCCATAATTTAATGTTTTCATAATATAGCATTTCTTCTTTCTTCCTCTAACAGCTTTCATCATTACTGGTTAGAATGGTTCCGCTGGCTCCATCTCCAAGGACGTCTCCAAGCTGTTCAATCTGACTCCATCACCATAATAAAGAAAATACACAATATGTAACAATATTTTTGGTGATATTAAGTACATGAACGTAGGGACAGGATGGCTTAGCGGATTGTTGCTTAATTCGGAACGCCGATGCTGAGGTTCGATTCCCTGCAGGAATAAACCAAAATCCGGGTGATGTTGACGACTCACCTGTATTTCTATCGCCAAAGAACGCAAGCCAGGGGAGTGGGTTTAACCAGTAATAGTGAGGACTCTTAAAAAAAAAAGTATCGAAGTATTAATATATGCAATAAAAAAATAACCACAAATATTGATGATACAATCATACAATCATAG